TCTCTCTCCGTGTCCCCCCCCCCCCCCACCCCTCACACACCCGTAAACCGCGAACGGTGGGAGGAACGCGTTGCCGTCGTGTGGGGAACGTTTGAGCTCTCACGCGACGCAGAGGAGCGAAGTTGGAACCAGAAAAAAGAAAACAAACAAACAAGCAAACAGAAACAAACAACAACAAGGAGGGGTCTAAAAAGGAGGCAAAGGGACACGGAGTTCTGCCGGGAAGCAGAGCGGTGGTAGATGCAGCCGGAAGAGGATCTGTTCCAGTGGCAGAATGGCGAGGTACTTGAGTTTGCAGAGGAGCAGGGGAGTAAGCACGAGCGGATCGCGGAATGGCGGCAGTTGAACACAAAAAGGTACGGCTACCGCGCTGCATACCACGAAGCAGTCGCCCAAAAAGATGATGTGCCTCCAGAGTATCTGCGCAAAATGGTAAAGGACAACGGTGATCTTGGCGGAAAACGTTTCGGTACGGAGCGCAAGCTGTGTGTTGCGTTGCTGAAGTACATGCCACTAGCACTTTACAAGTTGCTTGAGAATATGCCGATGCCTTGGGAGGAGGCGCGTTACGTTAACGTTGTATACCACATGGGCGGTGTACTGACGCTCGTTGATGACACACCAACGGTCCCGGAGCAGCTGTACCTAGCTCAGTGGGGTTCCATGTGGACACGGATGCGCTCGCACAAGGTGGAACTTCAGCAGGAGGGAGGCGCTTTTCGTCGCATGGTGCACAAGGGCAACGAGAATGAGCCCCCACTAGACTATGGTGATTACCTCATGGATCGTGAACCCCCACCAGCGGTGCATGATGAGCTTGACGAGGAGGACGCTGCGGCCATCACGGACTGGTTCTACGACCCCTTTCCTCGGTTGGTGCATCCAAATCAAATTCGTGGTCCACGTCGACCCAATGGATATTATTTTTCCATCAGTGTTGTTGAGTCACTCTTTCGTAGTGCCTCCCCAATTCTGCCGGTGCTGGATGATCGCAACTACTACTACCTCTGGGACCTAAAGTCGTTTTACACGGCAAAGGCGATGCACCTTGCGATTCCACGGGCACCAAAGTTTGAGGCGCCTCCTGCGGTGTATGAGGAGGATCAGGACTGGACGGAGTTTAACGACCTTCGGCGCATAATTCACCGCGACGACCCACGCAAGCCGCGATTTACGATGCTCACAGAGAGACAGATTGCATTTCCATTTCTGTACGGCAATGTGGTGGAGGCGGTCACGGTGGCGCCCTACCATTACCCCGCTGAGGTTCGTGTGGAGAACGACGACCCTGCGCTGCCTTGCTTCTCGTGGAACCCTTCCATAAACCCCATCAAGGCCCTGAAGCGGAATCACGCCGAGGTGACGGCGGCGAATAAGGGCGCTTTGCGATCTCTGGCACTGCAGCATCTGCAGGAGGAGGAAGCAGCAGTGAAAGTGGAAGAGACGACTTGTCCCGTGCAGCTTCCGGCAAGCTTCGTCCCTTTTCTGGATGATCTTCCACTGGAGGATGTGGACACCAAACAGGCTATGATGTTAGCATTTGCACCTGCACCATACAACGCATTTGAAGGTGCAATGAAGCGTCGTGTAGACATTCCCGTCGCGGAGCATTGGTGTCAGGATCCTCCCACGTTATTGTCAAGCGACACCCGTGATAAGACTCTTCGCAGTTACACACAGCTGTTGAAGCATACTGTCGCAAAGAATCTTAGCCGAGAACGACTCCAGACGCGGAAGCGACAGAAGGAGAACACAACGGATGCAGTGCAACCTTCCCGTCGATTAGATGAGCTTGGCGGCCTGAAGTTTTTTCAAACGACAAAGATTGACTGGATGGAGGCCGCGCTTCAAGTTATGCGGCAGGGACACAACATGCTGGTTCAGCTGATCAACGTCAAATGCCTGCCCTACGTTCACATTGATTACAACTTTGAAGCTAAGCCCACTCGTACGTTGACAACAAAGGAGATCAAGAAGAGTCGCTTGGGCCCAGCGTTTCATCTGATTCGTGAGCTCTTGGGGTTTATGAAGCAACTCATCGACATGCACGCGATGTATAGGCTTGGCAAAACAGACGCCTTTCAACTCGCGGACGCAACACATTACCTCTTTTCCCACCTTGGGCGTTTGACCGGTGTGTATCGGTACAAGTTACGAGCTATGCGACAAATCAAGCGCACCCGGGACCTAAAACATGTTCTTTACAGTAAATTTAATGTGGGGGAGGTGCTGAGAGGTCCGGGATGTGGTTTCTGGGCCCCGGCGTGGCGTGTTTGGGTGTTTTTCCTGCGTGGGATGACACCACTGTTGCAGCGCTACCTAGGCAATCTCACGGACCGCGTGCTTCGCGGGCGCGAATCGAAGGGCAAGTACGAAGGCAAACGCATTACCCGACAAAGGGTGGAGACGGACAAGGACGTAAATATTAAGGAGGCGTTTAGACGGGAGCTGCGCGAGATGCTTCCCGAGAACGTGCGCGCGGACGTTATTCGAACGATGGATCAGCACATGAACGAGGCTTTTCGTCACTGGCGGGCTGGTCTCAAGTGGTCTGTGCCAGGTCTGGCCAAGCCCTTAACGGAGCTGGTAAACAAGTACGTCAAGCTACGGGCAGAGGAGTACATTCGCGTCACACAGTACCAGCGCAAACGCATCAATGAAGGGGATACAGTTGACAAACAGGCCTTTATGAAAAATCTCGGTCGTCTGACGCGTCTAAAGCTTATGGAAGAGCAGGAGCGTCAGCGGGCGTACCTGGAGGGGCGCGATGCACTCGTGATCACCCCCGAGGAGGCGACGGAGATTTACCGCATGATGGCAAACTGGCTTAGTGACCGTGGATTTAAAAAAATTGAGTTTCCCAAAGTGTCACGACCAGCTGAGCTGCGACTCCTTGAGCTCTCCTTAAACCGTCTCCGGGACCAGCACAACATTGCGAATCGACTCACGCAGGCCCAGCGTGAGGAGCAGGCACGCATTGAGGAGGCCTTTAACTCACCGCACGACACTCTTTCAAAAATTATTGACTGCCTGGCGCGTGTGCGGCGTTTCAAGAACGTTGAGGTGGAGTACATGGATACCTTTTCAACACTGTATCCTATATACAAGGTGGTGCCATCTGAAAAACTTGTGGACTCCTTCCTAGATCAGTACCTTTGGTATGAAGCCATGGATCAACAGCGTCTGTTCCCCAATTGGGTGAAACCCTCTGACATGGAGCCTGTACCTGTTCTCCTCTACAAGTGGTGTCAGGGTGTCAATGACAGTCCTGGCCTGTGGGATGTTACACGGGAGGAATCGACGGTTTTGTTGCATGCGGACCTGGAGGACAGCTTCTTTGAGAACGTGGACTGGAATTTATTCCGCCCACTCTTGGAGCTTGTGATGGATAAATCTCTGGTTGAATACATCGTTAGCCGCCACGACGTCGTTGTGGAATTCAAGGACATGAGTTATCAATGCCGGAAAGGGTTACTACGTGGATTTATGTTTTCTTCGTTTTTGGCACAGTATTGGGGTCTCGTTATAGACGTGCTACTGCTCGGGACGCAGCGCAGTCAGGAACTGGCAGGACCCGCCCGGCGACCCAACCCATTTATGACGTTTATGCGAGATCCGCTGCTCGCCACCTCGCATCCTATTCGTGGGTATTGCCGGTACAAGAATGAAGTGTATCTTCTTCTTAAATATACAAAAGTAGAGGCGGACGATGTGCGACGGCGGTACTTGGAGGAAACCAAACATGATCCTGAGCGACGCGCCCTAAATGCCTCGGTGTATGGATTTAAAAATGCCAATCAATGGCCGAGAGATGCCCGGATGCGTTTGTTTCTCAATGATGTGAATCTTGCCCGTGCGGTTCTATGGGAGTTCCGTGGCCGTCTGCCACCCAGCATAGCTGAAATGAATGAATCCAACACCTTTGTGAGTGTCTACTCCAAGGACAATCCTAACCTGCTTTTTGACATGGGGGGGTTTTCCGTAAGAATCCTACCGGTGTGTCGCACAGAAGAGGAGGTGCTGGAGAACGAATCCACGTGGAACCTGCAGCACGCTGCAAGCAAAGACGTCACGGCAAGAGCATTTATTCAGGTGGCACCGGATCATGTGAATCATATACGGAACAAGGCCCGCCGCGCCATTATGATGGTAGGCAGTTCTACCTTTCAAAGTATTGCGGCGAAATGGAATGCGCTCGTAACCGAAATTGTGCCGTATTACCGCGAGGCAATTTTAGGGACAGACAGTCTTCAGAAGGTTCTTGCCCGAGCAGAACATCGAATGCAGTCCAGGGTGATGATGGCGTTGAATTCAAGGTCCAAGGCTCGATTTCCCCCAGCAATGTTTTACGCACCGACAGACCTTGGTGGGCTTGGAATGCTCTCCGTGGGTCACTCCCTTATTCCTGCCCGTGATCTCATCTACTCCAGAACCACCAGCACTGGTGTGCAATTCTTCTACTCTGGCCTCACAAATGCCGATGACATTCCCATCCCTAACGTTCTGCAGTACTACACACCGTGGGAGACGGAGGTTCGGGAGAGCGTGAAGGCATGGACGGAGTTCAGCGTGCGAGATCGCGAAGCCAAAGCGGCCGGTACACGACTCTCACTGGATGATATTGAGCCCATCATCAACAAGGGTGTTCCGCGAATTCGGGTTCTCTTTTCTCGTCATGCCAAACTCTTTCAATTCGATAAGGGGTTCCGTTGTCGCATGGAATTTCAGCGTTATCTTGCCGGCAAGTACCTAAAGAACTGGTGGTTTCACCCCGAGCACGATGGCAATATATGCGGTGGTGTCTTGGAGAAGTATCGTGTGGACATCATCATTGCCCTCGGTGGCGTGGAGGCCATTCTTGAGCACAGTCTGTTTAAAGGGACCGGATTTCCCTCGTGGGAGGGCATCGAGTTTAACCGCACCGGTGGTTTTGAGAACTCCAAGAAGGACAGTAAACTGGCTAAGCAGCAACGTGCGGGTCTCGCCAACGTCCCTAACCGACGCTTTGCGCTGTGGTGGTGCCCAACGATAAACCGCGCTGATGTTCAGGCCGGATTTGAATCTAAAATCGACACCACAGGCGTGTTTATGTGCGGAAAGCTCGAGACGATTAAAAAATCGCTGATTAAAATATTTAGTGGCTCACTTTGGGAAAAGTGCCACGGGGCCGTCGTCAACGACATTGCCAGCAAATTGAAGGACGCCATGGCAGATTTGGATGCAGCCTCGGTGACGCTGCAGCAGCAACACCCGCAAAAGTCGTACACCTACACAAGCTCCGCACCCGATGTCGTCATGGTTTCAACGTCGCGTTGGCCTGTGACGGCGAAACCGACGGTGCTCTCGGACGAGGCCGGGGATGAGTACCGTTCCCACCTAACCAGCAAGTTCTGGATTGATGTGCAACTACGCTGGGGCAACTACGACAGTCACAATATCGCCGAGTATGCGAGGAAAAAATTCTACGAGTATTCATCAGCCAAAATGTATCCTTTTCCTGCTGGTGTGGTTGTGGCGGTCGACTTGGCGTACAATTGTCATTCGGCGTTTGGGTACTGGATCCCACAGCTGAAGCCACTCATGGCAAAGCTTATGTCAGCCATTATGCGCCACAACATTGCCCTCAATACCTTGCGGGATAGGATGAAGCGCGAATTACAGCTTTTCAGCTCTGCTCCCACAGAGGCAGGTTTGTCAGTGACAAACATCGCAGAACTTTTTTCGGAGGGAATGCGTACATGGATCGTGGACGACAGTGCAACCTACGTCACGAGTGAACAGCCAACAGCAGAAGGAGGAAGAAAGTTTCGCTCGGAGAACGGCGCCGTGCTGTTGTTTGAGCCTACCACGGGGCAACTAAAGCTCAGTATTGTGCACAAGAGTGTCTTCGCAGGGCAAAAGCGACGCACAAAACTTGCGCGTGAAAAGGCGGCAGAGGAAATTGCTTCATGGCTTCGAAGCACACCGGCAAGTCAACGACCAGGCAAAATTATAGTCACCCGCTCCCGCTTCCGTCAAACGCTACACAACATGCTTGTGTTAGACTACCCCAACATTATCATTGGCCAGAGCGACCTGAACCTCGCTATTCCCATGGCGTTGCGCCACAGTCGTCTGGTGGATTTGCGCATCTCCGCCACCGAGAGTAAGGGGTGGGAGTTTTGCTTGTACGATGACTGGCTCCGGCAGTTTCAACCAGCGACATGCTTCAATCTTCTCAACCTCATCCTGCGCGGGTACCACGTCAACCTCAACCGGACGCGTGAGACCTTGGTGCCGGATTTGCACGTGGAGGTGCATCATTCGCACTTTTGGCCCACGTACACCCGTGAGGAATGGGAAAGGGTGTCAATACGCCTGCAGGAGATGATTATTGCGGACTCTGCACGTCGCATGAACGTCAGCCCGAATCAATTCACTGAAATGGAAAAGAAAGATATCCTCCTCGGGAAGAAGATGACAACCGTCGAAATTCAGGAAGAGGAAAAGAAGGAACTTGAGGACATGAAAAGGACTAAGTTGATGCAAGAGCAGACGGTAACTCTGACCACGAAGTCGGGTGAACAAATCAAGAAGAAAGTCAAGGCCGCGTTTGACTTTGGAAACTCCACAACAGCCAGTAATTGGCGAACGCGCTCTCTCGCCGATGCGGCAGCATTTGATGAATCCACGCCTATAGAAATTGATGCTGTAGGTGCAGTGGCTAGTAGCGATCAACTTGTCATCCCTATGGAAATTATGAAATCATTCTTTTCGTGCTGCGATGTGCAGGCACAGTGCTGCGCTTACCTCTTTGGCCAAACCCTCCCAGAATCCCCCAATATTAAGGAGGTGTTGTGTGTTATGGTCCCACCACAAAAGGGATCTGCTGTGGAGTGTACAACGCCGGTGCAAATTCCACACAAAAACTCTGCACTTGTGGAAAACCATCTCTCACTTATTGGGGTGCTTCGCTGCGGTGGCGGGGAACCTGTCGTCCACTCAAGGGACTTGGCGCTACAGGGTCGACTTTTGGCGTCCAACGACGAGTTGCAGACGGAAGGGCTTGTGACCGCCGTCATGGGCATTTCTCAAGATGGCCTGCATATACGTTGCTACACCACAACACGGGAAGGTATCTCATGGGCCTTGGAACACTACGCGAAGGCGCTAGAACGCGAGCCAATGGAGGTTGCGCCAACACACGTCGCGCCGTGCCGGGCGACGCTTTCTGCAGATCTTCAGGGCTTCTTTCTAGTACCTACCGATGGAGATTGGAACTATGCATTTAAGGGGGCCACCTGGCGTGAATCCACAGAGTTTGACGTTACCACTGACTTCCCGCCCTCCTTTTTTGCCGCCCAGCATCGGCCAGACCATTTTCTTAACTTTGCACGCCTCTCCGAGGAAGAAGACGCGATTGATATGGCTGACATGGATGACATCATGGCTTAGTTACCGCCATTGGACGAGGGAATGGGTTTCATTGGACGGGACGAGGGCACCTGGACGGCAATAGCGGCCGAAAATGGAAAAGAAAAAAGAAGATAACGACAGTAAACGGCGAGAGTGAGGTGACGGTTGATGATGCGACCAGAGAAGAGGTTTTCCTTTAAATATTGTTTTTTTTTTTTTTTCTTTTTTACTACCTCTTTTTTTTCCAGGGCCCCATTGAGAGCTAAATGTTTCCCTTAACACGCCGAAACCCCTTCCTGTTTTTGGCTCATTTATCTTTTTTTTTGTTCTCATCTCGTATTTTCCATATGTATTTCTTTCTCCTTGGATATCTTTGGCTGTACTCCTGGCCATTTCAACACACAAACACACACGTACGTGTATTGGCGAAGAATAGCTACTGGCGATTCGTTCAGAGTGAGAGGAGGTTTATAAGCGACATGACTGGGGGCTACAGCTATGAGAAGCCAGATACATCAAAGTGGAAGCTATCAGACCTTGAGTTGGGGGATACGTTAGGGACAGGTTCCTTTGGGCGCGTGCGCATCGCGAAGCTGAAGGGAACAAATGACTACTACGCAGTGAAGTGCCTCAAGAAGCGTGAGATCCTCAAGATGAAGCAGGTTCAACATCTTAGCCAAGAAAAGCAGATTCTGATGGAGCTCTCGCACCCGTTTATTGTGAATATGCTGTGCTCCTTCCAGGATGAGCGTCGTGTGTACTTGGTGCTTGAATTTGTGATAGGCGGGGAAATGTTCACCCACCTTCGCTCTGCCGGCCGGTTTCC